AATTCCATTCCTGAACAAATTAACTACTCAAATTACTTGTACGCGGCTCGTTAAAATTACAAAGTCTAAACGCCACTTTCAGCAGATCACAAATAAATTTTAACGACATAACGCAATTTGTACTCTGCAGAATGTCTTCAATTACATTAACATCTCTTAGTTTCATGTAAATGGGTACGAAGTACATTCTTAATAGGTATATTGAACCTATGTACTAAACTTTCACAGAAAGTTTATGTAGGCGGTTCGTTTAATCCTCAGTAGATAGTCACCTGATTTGTCGAAGGTTTATTAATTAGCAGGTGTAACGGCTATCTAGAGAGTAACTTAGCAAATAAAATGTTACCGAATGCCAACTTGAATGAATTTTAAATTATCCTAATGCTGACACTCTCCTTTTAAGTTTCTAGCTTGTAAAAGTGGTATTAATTCCAGCAATTTAATTCAAGTGAGTTTTACAGCGTGATAGGGAAATATAAACCGACGAAATAAAGGCAATGACATGTATTAAAAATCTATCTTCTCTAAGGAATATAACATAATATGTTTTGTTTGTTCGTTTGTATTCTAATATCCGGAACCACTGGTTCGATTTTTTTTTTGTATTAGCTAGTCCGTTTACTGAGAAAGGTCGTAAAACATCATGCCACAATCAATAAGAGCCGAGCAACGGGTGAAACCGCGCAGAAGTAGCTGGTGGAACTATTTGAGGCTGCTTCATTTGTTTGATTAAGAAAAGCACGAAACTCCTTGCGATTAGGACGACCATTTTTTGTTAGATATAAAAAAACTTAGAACTTATTGTATCTAAAAAGCACGTCTTTATCAAAAACAGAGTTGATTTCACTATTTATTATATTTTTTTTTGTTTTAATTTCTAGATGTATTTTAAAGGTTACAGAGGACATAATATCCAAGACCACCTATTACGATATTTACGTAATCTTACCTAACGAGTCTGTTATTCTTTATTGGATGACCTCATCAGAGATCGAACACGCATTATGTGTCGTGTGATTTTAACCGATGTCAAACAATTGGTATTGTATCAATATATTGAAGTACTTGAATATGTTTTAGAAACCTTGCCTTATGAAGTAACTCCATCTTTCAAATAGGGATTTCATGAGTACCGTGTGTAAATTATATTATACGTCGAATTGAAATATTTGTAGAACTCTTAACGATTACGTGGGTTCAGTCAAGGGTACATCTGACTTCTTAAAAAACCACTTGTGACGTAAGCCAAAAGTTACTTTATGAACCTTTTATTCCACCCTGAAATAAGCAAACGTGAATTGTTTTACTAACGTCCGCATTTCGATCTAAACATCTAAAATGTGTAGATACCTACAATATCTAATTTAGCTTTTTTTTTAACGTATTTATTCACGAAAATTATACATAAATTAGCTTATACATCAAAAATCGCCAAACTGTATAACAGTTTGTTGGCGATAGTGGCGCTCTTATATTATACAATAAAGTTACTTATAACTACTATTAATCTATATAAATACTATACTATTAAAGATAAAGATAAAGACATTTATATGCGTAAAAACATGGTATACAAATATTAATGAATACATATTATCTTTAGATTTTTTTTATGTCTAGAACAATTAACTTTAATTTTTTGTAAATACTTATGTATCTAACATATTTAAAAATTCCTTCTTTAGTCTTTTTATTAAAGATAATGTACTTAGGTTACCACTATTATTTCTTATGAAAGATGTATGATAACTATGTGTTACAGGTTCCTTATATTTACTTGTATTGTACTGCTCCATAGCTATAAGGTATTCCACTTTGGTATGCACTGGTAGTATTTTACAAATGTTGTACAGTCTCTCATAATTTGGTTTACATTTCAATCTAACTTTTTTGCTTACGAGATATTTCATTAGTCTATAGTCTGTAGTTATTTTATGTGATCAAGCTTATGTCAGTTGACGTCACAGAACCAACAAAGGGAGACCGAACTTTAATTATCTTAGCCAAACACGACTGATAGAATCTATTTATTATCTGTAGATTACAAGAACTCTGCATTCTTGGGCTTGGATTTAAATTACCGGGATAAAGAGATGTATGAATGAACTCCACATTAGTCTTCGAATATAGACAACAGTAAAAAGGATTTTTGTCGTAATAATGCATGAATAGGTCCTATAACAGAAGAACAGTATCCGATGCTCTGAAGGCGACGTCATAACCATCACGACAAGGGCAGCTTATCGAATTGGAGCGGTTCTAGTTATCATTTCCATATCTTTGTCTATCAGGAAGGCCCGTAATAGAAATTACCTTAATGGTTCCTGGTTGTAGAGGTCTAATGAATAATGACAAAGTCATTTATAAAACTGAACTAGGTACCTATTGCATTAATCACATGTAGCCTGGTAAAAGTTCAGCTTAGTACGTAGAGCTGTTCTGCCCAATAAAGAAATTCCACAGTTTGTTTCTTTATCATTTTACGCTTGTGTAAGTAATTAATTGCTGATCTGTAATGTAATTGAACGATAACATTGACAAATCGCGTGGGTTTTCCTTGACATTTGATACACAAACACATTTAGAATTTAGATTAGAAACATTCAGTAACCCGGAAACTAGAGGTAATGAGCTCAAGTAGACAGAGATCAAGTATCTTTGACAACATACAGCTACCAAAAATACTACTTATCTGTGTACGAATTGTTTAACCTTGTAGTAAAGCACTCGATTCGAATTTGAATAGATATGATTGACAACTGACAATACTCACCCACCCAAAGCGAGTGTGAAAACCGAAAGAACCAATATTACCCTTGTACTAGTTTTCTATTTAAGTGTGATGAATTAACAAAACAGCGGTCGTAATCGAAAACAAAACACTCTACGAAAACATGTGATTTACGCCCTCGTTCGACCGACTAGCGAGATCATTTAGTTACATCAACCGATTCGTCAATCTCAAGTAACTAATGAACACATACGTAATTGTACCATAGAAAACGAAACACACTATTGATTGATTACGTTGCAAGTTCACGGTACTATTTCCTATACTACAATGTCCTTGTGAGTTGTGTGACGAGACGACTAGAATCGATAAGGAATATTAATCAGCACAAAGACATTAAGAGTGTTTTCCCGTTGTTGTCTTATTATAAGGATGGTCTTATGAGTACACTATAGAGAAAAAAAACACCAAAAATTTAAATAACTGTATCGTAACCCCAAGATGCCCAAGATAAAAAATAAATTAGTTAGTTGCTACAAAATTTTGTAAAAACGTGAGTACGGAAATCCTATGTTCTTGAGATCTTCAGCTGTTAGTTTTTGTAAAAACTTTTTGCCCTCGAACAATACTCGTATCTGCGTCATGCTTGCGGCAACATCCGTTGTCTTAGTTTACGGTTCTCACATATTATTATTTTAATTAGCCAATAACATGTTACTATTTTCTGGGAATTAGCAAACGACGTTGCTACGATGTTCGTTCAGTTATTGTTACAACGTGTAATAGAATGTTTGTTATTTACGGCTAAGAAATGAACGAGTTAAATACTTTTTCTTCATTGGCAATGTTCATATTTTATGTTGATTCTCATTCGATTCCTTCGTTTAGTTTTCCATAAAATGTGATCAAACAATACAGCAGTAAATGACAATGACCAAATTTGTATGGAGCGTGGTGCCTTTTAATTTTTTCGCGGCAGTTGATCAAATGTGGATAAACTGATGCAGAATAACATTACAAACAAAAAAATGTATGGGGTCTTATATCAAAAACACAGTCCGAACCGAGTTAAGTCAGTTCAAAGATGTGAAAATAGTGGTATATTATTCCTGTTATTTTGTTGATGGTGACCGTACACAACACATATTTCTTCATTTACTTGTCAGAAATATTTTGTAATTAATGTTCATAAACGATTTCAAGGAATATAGTAAAGCTTGTTATGGGCTTATTTTTTTTTTATTTTTTTTTTTGTTATAAGGCCAACGAATCAGAACAAAGTGAACCATTAACTGGCCACTGCTGAAATAAAAAAAAAACATTTCGCTTAATTGGCTAGCGTATTCACTTTATATGTATACGGTTTAAGGCCTATGACAGATTTTCATGATCAATTTCCTCTCAGTCGAAAACCCGCAAAATACTTTACTGAGCCTTATCATAAAATGCTATGTTCGTCAACTGAGGCGTCGGTAGCGGATACACGAAAAAATCATTTTTCTGTCTACTTCTCCCGACTTACTTCCGATTAGTAACTAATCTAACTACAGTTAATACTTATAATACAGTTAATAATCTATATCTAGCATAAGATTCTGTACAAAGATATCGTCATTCAGTCACCAAGTGATGGATTATATTTCGACTGATCACATTATATGAAAAAATTATGCGCTCATCTGACGTATAGTCCATCACTTTACAAAGTCGACGGTTTCCTTTCTTGAAAATATTATGCTAACTATAAAGTAGATGAGTCTACCACCAGGAGTCAAAGGCAAAAAAAAACTTTTAGATTTTTGGACGGCTGCCACTACTCAACCCACCACTGGTACCTCAGCTGACGCTCATGGAGCTTCATGACACAACTCCTAGAAGCATCCCACAAATTATCGACTGAGAGAAAATAGCAAATAAAAATTAGTGCCTGGCAATATGGATATATTGTGGTGTAATATGGTGTTCCTGTGCCCGGCGTACAGTGGCGCGCAATTTGAAGTTAGGAATTGTGACAAAAATATGAATAATTTGAATAAAAAAACCAAAGTAAAATGTTTGACTTCAGCTCTTTTCGACGCTCATAACTCAGTCCAGACTGAGATTTCCATATATGAGCCCATACACAATTTCGTTTGTAATGTCATTTTAGATAATATTTTCCATAAATCATCGACTGCCGCCAGAAAAAAGAAAGGCACCAATTTTAGTCAATGCCCTTTCACAGACTGCAATAGAATACTCAAATGAAATTAGTCTACTTTTGTTACAGGAATAAAGCGATCGCCGATTATTTAGGTAGCAATGGCTACACGGACGCGCTGGAAGCGTTCAAGAAGGAGGCCGACATGTCCGGCGAAATGGATCGCAAGTTCGGCGGCCTCCTCGAGAAAAAATGGACCTCAGTCATAAGGTTGCAGAAAAAAGTAAGCAAAATTTTGTATTATGTGGTATTTACCTACCTACCTAGTTAATGAACCTACCTACCTACCTACCTGTTTAATGTATCAAAACAATTAGGTATGATGAAGAGACGATACATTAGAAAATAAATAAAATTGCATCTTATCCGATTTGGGATTTGTAGAGTTGTAATTGTTTGTGAAGAAACAAAACTATCAATTTTCTTTGCAGTCATCCGGCGGCGTTAAAGTTACATGTTGCAGTTTCTTGTATAACACTTTCTATAATTGATTACACGTAATCGATCTGTGAACACAAAAGATGATGACGCCTATTAGTGTCCCCCGGAGTACGCAATATGTTAGTTACATAAGTGGGAAGCCATTCGATTCTCTGGTGTTTCAATGGTTCAGAAATTGCTTAACTGCTAGCAGCTGAACGCATTGATGGTTAAAACGTGTAGTATAAAAATGTATAACGACATCTGAGCACGATCCGGTCCGAGAAGCGTACTCCATCGATCTGTGCTGTAGACGTTTCTAGGTCACTTCGAACGATTTTCTTGGGCGGGCGGTCGATGGTGACCGCGACCGTTTGCTTTTATTAAACCACGTGACACATTTTATTCATTGACTAAAACTATCACTACGGAAATAATGCCAAGTATTCAAACAAATAAAACGCAAGGTGATGGTAATCAGGTCGCTGCTCTGTTTTCATCTCGAACCTTGCTCTACAAATAGCTAGTATTGTTTACATACTTTATTTAACTCAACGCATGTGTTGCTAACTTGCAACTAGAAGATACAGTGCTTTCAAAGAATTTCATATCTTTATAAACCGGCTGATTAGAAAAAGATACGGATTTATTTCATTAATCCTTAATATCAGGCCAATGTGCTAGACTGATGACGCAGCTGGTAGAGTATTCTGAAAGAAGCATAAATATTATCGAATTACAATTATGTATTGTAAGACCTAAGCATAATAGTTTTTTTTTCTCTTTTAGGTGATGGAATTAGAATCGAAGCTGTCAGAAGCTCAGAAGGAATTCATCGAGGGTGCACCAACGCGCGCTAAGCGCACGCCCGCCGAGTGGATCCCACGTCCACCGGAAAAATTCTGTCTCACCGGACACCGGGCCACCATTACCAAGGTTCATATCTGTTTCACAATTAAGCATTATAAGCAATTACGATCTGAGGAATTATGAAGAATGGCCATTAACATATTATTCTATCGTTGTTAGTTCAAGAAAAGAAAAACACATGTTTGGAAGTTTTCTTCCGGATCATGTTTTTGTTTTCATCTTTATGTTATAGGTACTTTTATTTATTCGTTCTTTCGGTTCAACAATACATGACCCATGGCTAATACAAACATACTTTCTACATAACATTTAGAATACAAAGCTGTTCTTTAAACTATTCTGTGTTCTTATAAACTTCTAGTGACTGGACTCTAGTCAGAAAAGAAACATGTCGGTCACATATTCAGAATTCGCTGAAATCGCATCATTAGTATAATTTGGATTCTTAGTCATTTCATAACAAGCATGAAGATGCTCGAAACATACTTCGAATTCACGAATTGTTTACAACGTTCATCTCTTACTAATTGCATTGCTGAAAATAATTACTTTTTGTAAAATGTTAAATGTCTATCAAAATATTAAGTAAATAGAGAAATATTTTTCAGTTAAACATAGCCATTTACAGTGAAACATGGATTTTATAAAATTAAAACTTTCGAATCCAATGAAAGTCAGAAACTCTAAAAACGTATTGTTTTGGTTTTTGTGTATAATTTCTCGTGATCATAACCATGCACAATTGTATCTAAGAAATGGTGTGACTATTATCTATAGCTTTCCGCGACTTTTTATTCAACTGTTCGAATTAACTTGATCGTAGTTCATTGTGAGAAATTACTCATAAGGTCACGTTTTTACTCCATTTTTTATGTAAATTGTAAACATACAATAACCATCATGGCTATATTTTCGTTTTATTTGCGACATTTGGCGTGTATCCTGGTTGGAAGCCCTAAAAATCTTACGGCGGGTGTAATCAAGAATTAATTTAAAATAGCTATAAATAGCTGTTAGTTTCAAGTCACAGCGGGACCCAACTTCTTACTGGGTTTTTGAAGGCAAATGGCAGTTGCTCCATGGCATAAAGTACTGGCATTCAATAAGATCTAAAAACACTTAAGTGTGTAAGAAATACGATGTTAGAGTTTTGGACTAATGGTTATTAAATAACATTGCAGGTAATATTTCACCCGGTGTTTAGTTTGATGGTGTCCTCGAGTGAGGACGCGACCATCAAAGTGTGGGACTTTGAGAGCGGCGAGTACGAACGAACCCTGAAGGGACACACCGATTCCGTTCAGGATATCGCTTTCGACCATCATGGAAAATTACTGGGTAAGTTGATAAGTTCTATACATACAAACATAAACCCACACCTTTATCATAATATGGCATAGGCAAGAACTGAAAAAGCTCAGCCTATTACGATCCTATCTCTGCATCTCTTTAAATAACATTCATTACCTTCATGAACCAGTAAAGGGTGCTCCGTAACTGGCCTATTTCCGCATAAAATGCAACCTTATGCTCAATTTATCCAACACGGATGGGGCCCAACATGGCTGATGCCGATTTGAAGTCGCGAAGAACCTAACGGGTCATCGGGGCTCCGGCTCGACGTGCAGGAGAAGGAACGGGGTGGTTTTTAGTCAGTAAGAGTCTAACACTCCCTCTCGCCTGATTATCTCGATGGCATTCCCCTCTTAAAAAAAATGCTCAATTTATACGACAACACACTTCGAGTGTCATAAATTAAGCAGTGATGTCACTTACCAACAAAGTATTGGAGTACGAATGTAAAAATATATTATGTAGTCTGTACCACTCAAAGCTACACTTGAAAAAGCTACTTAAACTGGCAATGACGTCATACTTAACAACTGAAACTAAACCGTGTGAGATCTAACAAAAAGCTATTAACAAGGACCATTATCTACTTAATACTAAGTAAATATTAATTATTATCTTACTACATTATTAAACTTAATGGTTTCCTGAAACTTAACTTAGCCTCATTCAAAAGTTTCCTTTATTTGTGATGACGCTATTATAATAAATGAAATGTTACGCATTACACTATTTGTTATTCGTATTATTAAAATTGATTGCCAATGAATTAGTCACAAGTGTCCATCGATGACGATCCTTTGAAATTCAACATAGAACATAATATTTTTGTCCAATGATGTCATGAGGTTAATGTCATCAATTTATACTGTCAAGGATACTTTTCAGTAGATGTAAATAATTAATTCCGCTAACTATACTAAAATGCGCCCCTAACCAGGATTTAATTTTTATTGTACAATCAAATAATAGTAAATACAAAAACACTGCTTTTAAAAAAAACCAACTTCAAAAACTAAAAACAAACGAAAAGTAAAAACTAAAAAGCAAAAAACAACTATAATTGTTCATACGTTCTTATAGCATACACACCCACTGATAGGTTGGAAGTCGGTGCCACAAGTTTTACGCAAAATTATTAATTAAAACCTTGATAGATGCCTAACATTATTAAGCTGTTTACAATTTTATTATGGATTATACCTGTGACCATTACCTAATATTTATTTTGTTATGGGTTTGTGGCACCGACTTCCAACCTATCAGTGGGTGTGTACGTGTACTCTGTGTGAGTCTTCAATTCTATAAAAACAAATAATTTATTTATTTTATTTCCCAGTGTCGTGCAGCGCGGACATGTCAATAAAGCTGTGGGACTTCAACCAAACGTTCGAGTGTGTGAAGACGATGCACGGCCACGACCACAATGTGTCGTCGGTCGCGTTCTCACCTAGCGGGGACATCGTCTACTCCGCCAGTCGAGATAAGACCATCAAAGCTTGGGAAGTTGCCACGGGGTAAGGAATTTCTCTTTCTTTTTATTTATACTAATAATTCTAACCATAGGTATACTGGTAACAGTATAACCAAATTTGACAATGAGATTCCCAAACTGTTTACTAAATGGGGGTATTATGGTAATCCCTCTTACTCCTGACGTAGGAAGTCCTTTTTTAGAATTGCATGTTTCCCAGTTGACGAAGATCCTAGTTATTTAGGTTTTTTTATATATTTTACTCGGATATGGAGTGTGATAAAAAATTTGTTAAATGAATCCACCGTGTGTTATGCAGTTTGGAGTAACATTCGTTTTCGATATAAAAAAAAAAGTAAGGGTGAAATGAAACTATGAAGTTAACTATTGTAAAATAGCTTTGCAGCACAATGTTTAAATAAATTCTGCTACCTAAGTGTCAAGTAGTAGTTTCCAAGTCCCAATAACTGCAAATAACTAAATTATTTGGCAAGGCTACGTCACTTGATGCCTTGGCCTTTACTACAGTTCCTAACAATGTTCAACTGTTTCTATATCCAAGTTTTATTACCAAGTATGTTGATGTTGTAACCAGGTATTGCATCAAGACGTACAAAGGTCACCGCGAGTGGGTGCGCATGGTGCGCGTGTCACCGGACGGCACGCTGCTGGCCTCCTGCTCCAACGACCAGACTGTGCGCATCTGGAACGCAGACACCAACGAATGCAAGGTACACCTCACACAAAATCATGTCAAGGCACCATCTTTCAAGTAAATGTGACTGATTCACTATAAAGCACAGCAATTTAGTTGACCTTACAAAATTTTACAAGTGACTTTTATGTACTTGCATAAGTTTTCTCTGGTTTTGAAATAACGACTTCATTTTTAGATGTCTTTTTGTGATTGCGGGTCAGTTGGGTCTTATACTAATACCACCACAGTTGTATTATTAAATTAATTATGTTGAACGTTATGTCTTATTCGCGTAACTGTTCGACGAGGTAACTTAGGTAGTTTTCAAGACCCGCACGGGCCACTGCGGTAATAAATCACAATTGCTTGTTTTACCCTTATGTACATATTTCAAGCGGAGAATATTCCACAATATAAGAACTTAATTTTTGGTTTTGTTAAATTTATGTAATTTGTACAGATGGAGCTACGTGAACACGAGCACGTAGTGGAGTGTGTATCGTGGGCGCCAGAGGCCGCGGCCGCCGCCATCAATGAGGCGGCCGGCACTGACAACCGCCGCGCCAACCACGCCGGACCCTTCCTCGCCAGCGGCTCACGTGATAAATCCGTCAAGGTACAAACACTTCAACACATTGTTCTCGGAATGGAGTGGTTTCTAACCAGCCAAGTTCATTACTTTTATTGTAAAATGTTAACCACGACAATTTTTTTTAGGTCAATTAACTACTATATTCAATGAAAATTGGATGCTGTAAGATGTAACTAGAAAACAATCTAATCGTATGTTCCTAGATCTGGGACGTGAGCACGGGGCAGTGCCTGGCGACGCTGGTGGGTCACGACAACTGGGTGCGCGGCGCGGCCTGGCACCCGGGCGGCCGCTACCTGCTGACTGCCTCCGACGACAAGACGCTCCGTGTCTGGGACGTCGCGCACACGCGCTGTCTCAAGACGCTCTACGCGCACCAACACTTCGCCACCAGTCTCGGTTCGAACTGTTTTATCTTATAATCTCTCCCGAACATATGACGTGTCTTACTTTGCTTTGTAATGTCAGTACTTACTAATTTACATTTTGGTATTTCGAGTTCCATTTTGTGACAGACAAAATAAAATATTTATGAAAAGTAAATTTTATATCCTTAAAATATCATGAATGTTTCGGTAATTCATATAACATTATCATTTTCTCTTTCAGATTTCCACAGGAGCTTGCCATACGTGATATCAGGCAGCGTTGATCAGACCGTCAAAGTTTGGGAGTGTCGCTAAGAGCGTTGCCATTTTAGTAACTTAAACTCACCGATGATATCCTTATCATTTTTATTTCGCGTTGTAGCTGCAATGTAAGCTGCTGTCATTATGGTCAATCATTTGTAAAGTGGAGAACTCTTGTCTCTGCCTCCAGCTCATTGTAGTTTTTTTTTCGTACACCTGACGATGCTATGTCTCCTTTATCTAAATTGGTGTCTAACTATAGTCCCGATTCTCTATTCGTATTCAACTTCTTCGGTTAGATTCACACATTCCATTAAAGTATAATGGCGCATAGTTTCTGTATATTTTTTTAGTTAAATTGATGTTTCCGAATTTTTAAAAATTTGGACCCTACTCTAGTTAGCAGTGACGTAGCATTCGTCATGTACCGCTCGCAAAGATGGAGTGAGGAGCTGTGTGTGTTATTATAAACGTTCAATTGTCCTGTTTTATTTGATAGTTATTGTTTATTCGTAAAATGTTTAGATATAAATTTTATTTGTTATTGAATAAGTAATTTGATTTATTACCCAGCCAATCAGATTTTGTACCTTGATTTCTTTATTAATAATGTTAGTTTTATAAAATTTGATATTGATAGTTATTCATGACAACAACAAACATTCAATTAATTAATGAACACACTTTGAACTCATCATAAACGCTCCATCAACTATAGTAGTGTACATATAAGGCTTTTGATGTTTGTCTCAGCTCGATACGATGTTCATTATGTTTGTTAGCACCGCCGCCAACAACATTAATGAATATCTATGGGGACAACGAAACCGAAACGAAGTAATGTAGCAACGTTTGTAGGATTTATATCAATCGGTTTCCTAGAGACTTATTTTAAGTTTTGGCAATTCAAAACTTTAACTATAAGTTAGAAAAAGTTATATTTCAAAATTTTATTTATTTATATTGTAACTTCTTATTTTTGTCTCAAACAATTTTGTTAAGTATAAGCATTGAATTGCTAAATGGGTAATTGTAATACAATTCATGTTTTACATTTATTATTAATATCTGATTTTAAAGTTAAGCCAATTTCATTTATGTCATCATAATTATGTCTAAGTAAATTAATGTGTGATATAAACTTTAATTAATACTTTGAATTACAGGCCTGTTTAAGGTAGCTAGATTGAAAGAAAACTTAATCGAAGCGTTTACACCTGACTACGGCGAAGCCAAAAGGAAATGTTATGATTTTCGCAGTCTATACAAATGTAGTTCCACCATTGTTTCAATTTGGCACTACCAATAGAGACAAGTGGGGTTGCTGCAAATTTCTGTCATTGATGGGCATGTCATAGGGTGTACTATCCGTGGTCGGGTTTTAGTTTTTTAATTAAAAATATCCATTATTACTATCAATAGTTATTTATTGTAATACGGAATAATTTTGTTGCCTGGTGTTGTAGAGGATAGTTCGTAGTGTAGTTCGCGTAGGTACGCTCATACTGTTAGAAACAGCTGTGTTAGTGCATGACATTATGCAACATGTACATTGCTTACATAGTGACGGCCGGTAACACCACGCTAATATATAATATTTACGGAGTTATCGCTTATACGATATGTCATTATTGCTTTTGTATTTCTAATCGAGATGTATGTATCGTGCGCCGCAGCTGTCGAAATAGATGCTAACTTGGTATTCTTATACGAGAATTATATTTGCTTTGTCAGTGTGAATTCGTAAAATATTATGCTGAGACCAAGGAGATTGTAATACAGTAGTATTGTGGCGTATTCGTAGAGAGCGTTTTACCTTATATGCTTTAGGCACCTGTGCATTCGACTACGTATGAATAAAACGTGGTCTTAGACCATCGTTAGCTCAAACTTTTACTAAATTGTTTGATAAATTGTTTACATTTTGTATGTCAATACATCACAATACATAATTTCTAGTCATTTTTATTTGCAATCATTTCCATTTGTATGACATATTTCTTAATAATAGATTGATAGTGGATTATATTTATGACCCGAAATATATGTAATAGATATTTTATATTTTAATCATTAGTACTCTATAAGAAAGCATTTTTATATGAAATGTCTTAACACCCAGCAACAGAATCAGAGTACTTAAACTTTTTGCCATTTTTAGCTGGAATTGATCACAAAAAAATTTAAAAAAGGGCGCTCTCTACTATTACGCGTGCTATATTATCTTGGCATAGAAATATAATCTCTTTGAAATATGGCAGTCGCCTAGTATCAAATAATCTGCTGAACATAAGGTTCTTCATTAAATCATTTGTATTACAATTTTAAAATAAGTATCTTGCACTTTTAAAAATGTAATTACCGTAAGAATAATATCGTCAACGTAAGTTATCTACTTGCAGAATTCTCTTGTTACATAATTAAAAAAACAAAAATATGTTAGTTTACTGGTTACGACAGAATAGCACTAAGAATATGTGACTGAAGTGTGTTAAATAGGAGAATTTTGCAGTTACTCATAATAACTGCTGTAACTTGTCAAAATTATTACCGAACTCCAAATAGATTTGGTTCGCGTTTCATGTAAATAAACAAGTATTTAATTTATTTTACAGTGTGTTTTTATTTCCTCGACTTTGGTGTTATTTTAACTCTACATATAAAAAAGGAAACCAGTTTTCCATTGTCACGCCATAACTTGAGAACGGCCACACCCATTTGGCATATTTTTTTGTTGTGTTTATTATTGTCAGGAGAAGGTTCGTATGACAGAAAAAGTCCTGAAAATCCTAAGGGAACGGGAGAAAAAGGTTGCGCGTACGAAGTCGCGGGCTAGTCGCCTATATTTCAGTTCACTAACTTTTTTAACCAGCTAATTTTGTTTGAGGTGGTGAGATAAAATATCTATAATTTGAATGCAGTATGTCGCGGGTTCGATGTCCGCGAAGGGTTAATATTTTTTTTCATTATCTACAGATTCTACTAATGTGCTGTAATTATTCAAGCAACGCTTACCCATTTGATAGCTATTATTTATATGCCATAAACACATTATGGATTACGTTCTGGCCAGACCAGGATTGTACCAAGTACCTACAATGTGCCTGAGGTACCAAAAGAAATTCCCGGCGCCTATTTTATTTTCTAGGGTATTATCGGCGCTTCATGCGCTTGTGTTTGTTTTCTTCTTTAATTTCTCTGATGTATGTAGTTTTTGTTTAGAAATAAAAAGTTAATCATGTGTTTGGCCAATCGTCATTTTTATTAAGTCATCATTTTTATCCCCTATTCTTATTATACTCTTTGTTATGTCATAATTAAAATAATTAACACTGGCATAAAAATGAACCTAAGATTAAAAAAAAAATCATAATCGACTATATTCGTAATACGTATCAGGAACCTCTCTATCATTTTATATTATCTGTATCGACGCAACGACAGCTGGCTGATCGACGACAGCGACAGGTGACAGACGAAAGGTCACAGAAAACGGGAATGGAATTCACGCATTCGGTCGAATTCTCGTGATTATTTTGTGAAGCAAATATTAATTGAAATTTGAAATACTACGAAAATGGATGTGGAGGAGTGTCTCAAAGAATGGGAAGATTTAGTGGTGGATTACAAGCGCTTAGAGGTAAAGTATTTTACTTGGTATACATAACGTTATTTTATCGTATCTGTTTTCATGGAATTTAAATGCGTTGTTCACGTTATTTTTAATTTGCAGCCTGTTGATATTCAACGATATTGCTAATAAAATCAAATATTATGGTTTTGCTGTATGAATGTACAATTTATAAGCCGTATTTAGTAACGCACCACTGTATTTTTATCCCCGAGTGTTTCGAGTAAAACTATGAAATAACGAAAATAGACAATATTTTAAAGCGGCTTTATTTTCTTATAGGTTGTAAACAAAGACTATGTAACAAAATTGGAAGAAGTGGGAGAGTTGCAGGCTGCCTGCATGAAGGAGATTAACCACCAGAAGTATCGCATGTCTATTATAGCTGCCGCACTGAAAAGGTCAGAACAATAGAGTCAACATAATTATCTAAACAGAGCCTAAGCCAGACTATATCTAAGCCAGATAACATACTTCCCTATTTTCATATTTACAAATATTAATTCAACATGATCTATCAATAATACATAATTATTGCTTTAATTAGTTCAAGTCTTCTGAACCATTTATACACAATTACACATGATAATGAAGCCCTTAATAACTACATAATTAAGCTTCCAATCCAATTAAAATTGGAGCACAACCTTGATTGGTATGAATTTTAATGTAGTAAAAAAAAATCATTATATCTTCTTTGAATTCATGTTTAAACAGTGCTTCTGTCTTCTAACTTTAATGAGTACTGTATTAAATGATAAGAATTTGATTTAACATTCCATTGTTATAATTTATGCCATAAACTTTTGTTCATGTACCGTTAACGGCAGATTAGATTAAATCTTAAAACTAGTTGTACAATTACGGTTTCTTTGTTAAGGTAAACCACAATATAAGATCACCTTTTTCTGAGAGGAAAAGGCCAAGAGGCAGAAGCCTATAGCACAGGTTATACTAGTTTGGGTTTCTGGCTTTTGCCATTTCATTGTCAGTTAAATTACTCAAACCTTGTGAACACCCTAAATTTCTTACAAGTATAATTATGCCAATATTATAAGATTATTATTAAGGTATATATTCCTTCTGAAATATGAAGGAAAAAAAATGTCCAAAGGAAGAGAGAGAAGGGAAACACATAATTATAGATACAATTGTTACATCAATTAACCATGTCTAAATAGAATAGAATAAAGTAAAATTATTGTATTTAAATCTAAAATATACAAAACCAAACAGATTTTATAAATTAACATCATAGTTAAATTTCTTTTTTGAGAACAAAATTAGAACATTTCTATATTAGCCTATTTGGCTATAGGAAATTGTTATCAAATTGATGTTCTACTACAAAGTTCGAACTACAGATTAACACATCAATTTCTTGTTATTTACAGTAATTATATAACACAATGATAAGTTAACAGATTAATGCTGGATATACTGATAATTTTAAATCCATTTACCAGTATTATATACTAAGAATGACTTGATAAATTCAGTTGATTAAATGCATGTCTTTATTGATAATACTCCTGTTGCCTTTTACCTCCCAAAGGGGGAGGCAGAAGTGCTCTAAACTACATTTAAGGGCCTATCCATTCCAAACATTTATATAACATAACATAACATCACGCCTTTTATCCCCGAAAGGGTAGGCAGAGGTGCACGTTATACCACTGTACAATGTAACACCCACTTTTCACTATTTATGTTATGAGCACTTACGACCACTCGGCCAAAGAGGCAGTCATTTATATATGATCCTAAAAATGCAGAAATTGATGAATAATGATAAAAAGTAACCTATATAAAAGATATAGATTACTGTCATTCATGTCTGAGAAATGTTTTTGTCACATATTGAAAGTCAAAAGGACAATAGTTCCTTAAACTACCTCAACCTTACTCAAATGAAGACTTTGTATGTATGAACAAATTAATTCATAATATACTTGTTATTTGTGAATGTTTTAATTATGTTTGTGTACATTCAACTTATGTTTGTTCTACAGTGTAACTTAAATAATTAGGCGACTTTACTGTTAAGTTTATTATTGTTGTCGAAAAAAAATTTTCATAATATAATATTTAAAATATTTAACATAACACATCATACTTACCTGTTATTTGCTTAAGGGACTAAGCAGAGATGTGTAACAGTTCATTATATATTCCTTTTGTCATAGAAGATGAGTCTGTTACCAGACACAAGTTGATCTCCATACTATGCTAGTTGATGTATTTGTCTACTGAAAATTTTGAAAATGGAACTCTGTTATTATTTTTTAATCTGAGAAGCTGTGACCACTGGCTTGTTAGTTTTGGTAGCAATCATCTAAGTAATGCAAACTAACACCTAAATGTCTCAAACAGGTTAGAAAAGAAAGGAGTCACGAAAGATGACCGCGTCGCGAATTTGGAGAAAGAGATAATGAAGAGGAAAGCTATGTTGCGGGAAATCAACGCGACGCTGCCCAAACAGAATAGCCTGTACTTGCGCATCATACTCGGAAACGTTAACGTTTCTATACTCAACAAAAATGACAAGTAAGTTTGGTTCTTTATTTGTTAATTAGCAACCTGAAATGATTATGCTGTTACTATATGCCATTTTTGATGTGAGACTGAGACGTACACTTCAACTATTAATAAGTATCTACTTACCTACTTAATTATTTTTATGAAATATATTATATTTATAAATAAAAGGAAGGAAGGACCGACCTATCTACCTACCTACTCGTAGTTACATACATTGTTCGAATTTTAAATCCTTTGCGATTTTTTCAGGTTCATATATTTTTCATATTTTTACGAAAATTTTCAGTCTTTCGAACTTTTTCACTATATTTGGCTTTGTTGCGTCATCAAACGGTCGATGTCATTGTCTGCTCTTATCACATTAAACCATCTGTTTCTAAATCGGTCTCAAGGGCAAGCAAATAAAAGTAATGAAAGTATATAGAATTGATTCTTATCTATATTTTCATTATTATCATATAAAAATACTAGCGGACCCAACAGACGTTGTCCTGCATATCCACTTAAATGTATAAACAAAAATTCATTCAATTTAGTTCAACTGTTTAGGATAAATAACCTAAACATCGACTGCAGCGCCATCTGCCGGGCTGATTTGTGAATCTAAACCATTCCCAGATCCCCTTGAATACACACAAAAAAAATTCATTAAAATCGGCCCAGTCGTTTGAGAGAAGTTCAGTGACATACTCACAGAAGAATTATATATATATAAAGATGACCTTGTATTCTACTCCCTGAATGAATAGGTAGAGGTCTACTCACATTACACGTACCTGCATTTAAGTTTATTATTGCCACTATTACAATAATTTCTGGCCCCTTAATTTTTCTAGGAATCGAATCGACTCGACTCCTAAGTCAGATAATTATCAATTTAGCTCTGACTTACTAAGAAGGCATGTCTCCCTATATATACAACCTATCTGGTCGCACTTCTGAATGAACACCATATCGATAACGCACCTTTAACAAACAGTTCTATTAGGCAATGTTACTTCCTTAGGGGAAGGGTTCAATCGACACGAACGGAAAACTAGATCAAACGTGATCAAATAATGCTTGGGACTAAAATACTTGGCATTTATAAGACTGAACTGATGTCCATAGATTTATTATCATCTTGGATTCATTAATTGATTATTATAATTTTACTAATATTATAAATGCTAAAGTTTGTGAGTGGGTTTATGTGTCTGTTTGTTCCTCAATCATATCAAAACGAGACTGTACGGTTGGTACGGTGGCTGGGCAACTGGCTGCCGTGCAACAGTGCACCCACAAATTGTTGTTTCTGGTCTGGGAGTCATGTGTAAGCAAGTGCAAAGTTTAAAAGAGAAAAAAATGTCTAAAAAGATTAGGGTTTAATTTAGTACCTACAGGAGTAGATGGAGCCTGAGGCCTTGGTACGAGTTTGTTTTACGTTAAAAGTAATCGTAA